TTCAGCAGATAATGTAGAATATCTCCTGAAAAAACAAATCTAATGAAACAGATCTGGTCTACTGAGAACTCATGGTTGATAGACAACAACAAATGGTTAAAAAAAAAAAAAAAAAAGTTTTAAAAAATAGAAGGAAAAAATAGAAAACTGAAAGATTACTGTGATACAGGTATTGACACACTTTAATAAAAAGAAAAAAATGTGTAAAAACATTTTGACTCACCTGTCAAATACATCAGAAATTAAACTCAGCCTTGATAAACTGTCAGTGCCCACCTAACAGGAATTAGCAAATGAAAGGTGACTCCAATGTTTTAAAAAGCCACATTCCCTGCTCCTTTGTCAGAATGGTGAATTCAATGGTGAATTCAAAGGAGCTACCCGAGAAGATCAGATGTACTATTATAAGTAAGCTCAAACCTATATTAGGCCATCTCCAAGTATCTTGGTATCTGTTTCAATAGTGCACAATGTTATTAAAAAATTTGCTTAGAACCCTCCCTGGATGTGGCACTAAGAGGAAAATTGATGGGAGAAATCTTCAAAGGTTTATGCGAACTGTGGATAAATATCCAAAGACCTGAAATTATATATCATATGGTGCGCACTAAACCAAGCCAAGCTTCATGGGAGAAAGCCGAGGACAACCCCTCTAATGAAGAAAAGACATAAAAAGTAAATGTGGACAGATGAAACAAAAATAAAGCCTTTTGACAATCCAAATCAACAATGTTTAAAGATGGTAAAATGAAGCTTATAATGAAGAGAGCACCCTACCAACAGTTAAGCATGATGGAAGATGACCATGTCACCAGAATTGTGAAATCTGAGGATTACCAAAGAACTTTAGAGCAAAAAGATGCTACCCAGTGTAAAAAAAAGGGATTTTGCTTTTAATTGCACCCCAGAACTCCACAAGGAGTAATGAAAGTTGAAGTATGTAATTGTATTATGTATTTGTTAATGTATTTTTTTATTTTGTATTTCAATTTTTTTGTTTTCAACATCAAAATATGTATGCAAAATGTAATGCATTACATCAAAATATTACTCATCCATTCTTTTATTAGTATACAAAATTAAAATCTACACATAAAATACAAAGAAAGTTATAATGATTTTAAAACAGTAGGTGTATGTTTTTACACACACACACAAAAATGCAGTGGCAGGAGGAACAATTCTAAAGAGAAATTAGTGTGGTAAAGGTTAATCTGAAAAAATTTAAATGCAACATCAATTGCTATTTAGTGTCCACCTGATTACTCTCTTCTCTTTCTACTGATCATTAAATGTTTCTGTTCCTAATTCTTCAATACCCTGTTGCTCCTTGTGTTTTAGTGGCATTATAGCCATGCTTGGGGCAATTCCAATTGAAAAAAAAAAGAAAAATCAAAATATTAAAGAAAGAAAAATATCAAACAACAAAGAAAAGAGAGAAATAATGAAAGAAGGAAAAACTTAAGAAAGAAGAAAAGGTGAAATGAAAGAGAGACAAAAGAAGCAAAATGATGTTCATGATAAACCATAGATTGTCAAATCAAATCAAAATTGAAGAGGGTCTTGAGATAACTATGCTATCACCTGTTATACCCATCAAATAAAACAAAGTGTTACAACTATATGATTACATAAGTGGGCTAAACCAGCTCTCTTGAAAATGTTTAGAGAGCTGTGGATAATTGGTAAAAGAAGTAGATTGTTTTCTACAGCTTATCAAACCTTTGAACATTATTTAAAGCCAGAAAATATTTTTTTAATTGTAAGAATTTTTTTATAGATAATGTTTTTTTACTGATATAAGTCCTACTTAATTAACCCAGGATTAGCAGGGAGAAAAGTACAAGGCCCCAGAGCCACACAGGGTACAGGGTTCGAGATTAAGAGGCATGGTTTATGTGGATACGTGGTGAAGATAATAGTTAACCCCAGACTTGAACAGGTTAAGATTGTAGTGATTGGGGAAGCATCCTCTTAGGAACTGGTTCTATAAAGCAGGGTGTAATAGAAAGGGAGGAGGAGGATGTGAAGAAAGAATGGGGGAAAGAGAAGAAAAGCAAGGGTATCATAAAAGGATCATGGGGGGGGGGTAATTGAAATGTACATTTCTTTTTTTGCATCCAGCCTCATATGTACTTGAGGAATACCGAGGAGGATATCTTAAAGTTGAAACCAAGGTGGCGGATTCAACTGATCTGATTTTTAAAGTTAAAAGTTCTACATGTTATTTTTGCTTTTATTTTTTTCACATGTGTATTGAGCACTGTTTCCTGGTCTGATTCAACTCTGACCATTAGCCCTTTATATATATTTCATATAAGGTAGTTTTTCACTCGTAATGAGAACAGGGAAATAAAGAGCAGAAAAAAAAAAAAAACCTGAGGCAAGGGATTAAGATTTCACTTAAACTATTTAAAGCAGACCTTGAAAGTATCTTCTGAAAAAAATGGACTTAGCAGGGATGTGAGTAAATGAGTAAACATATTCAGAGAATATTTAAAACCATTTACTGATTTGACAACAGGGCCGGTGCAAGGGTTTGTGCCCCCCTTCCCCTGAATGTGTAATGATCCACTATAATATATATCAATTTTAGTATTCATATAAAAATACAAATTTTATTGTAACCTAATTATGTACAAATATCAGTAAGTTTATACACATACAAAAGAAATTTCAAGGTTTTTTTTTTTAAATACTGGGAGCGGGGCCTGCGAAACTGTAGTAAACTTTTCTATTTATTGTTTTAGTAAATATAATTTTTACTTAATAACAATATCACCTAACCAGTATAAATTAATATAGAATTTTAAAATATTAAAATTAAAAAAAAAAAAAAATGGAAACAATTCTTGTAAAAATTCATTATTCATCAAAAACATTTTTTTCTAGAGACAAGTGTCCCTAATGTAGGTACATTCATGAGATCGCTAAAAACAGAGCATAGCATAATGAAAAAGATGCCAAACTTGATGAAAACAAAATTTTATCGTCTAAATGCTTATGTTATTATTAAGAGGAAAGATCAAAGTATTTTTTAATTATTCTTTTTTTAAATTTTTCTTTCTTTTTAGAACATTCTAAATTTTGATTAAAAATACCTTGTTTCTTTTTGTATCACCGGAACTAGTATAATAACATAAAATTTTAGCGCGTTTTTTTCAGTATGACAGACATTAATTTTGATTTTAATGAAACTTTCAGAAACTATTCACAAATGATGGAACTTATTATAAATATGTTTTCCTTTTTTAAAGTCATGGCAAAAATATTTTTTTTTCATATGTAATATCCCCCTAACTAATTGTACGAAAACTCGACAATTTCAATTTTGGGAAGATTAGTGATTATATTAGTTAAAAGCACAATGCTTGAGGAAACCAAATCATGTTTTTTTTTTAAAATTATCTCTGAATTGTAACATACAAAACTCAATAAAACAAAAATATTATTTGATTTCAAAAGCTTTTAATTGCTTTTATTTATTTTAATGAACATGGACAATATTGTCTGAAAGCAAAAAGATGATAACAGTAATAATTTTTTCTCTCGAAAATAAAGAAAGTAGCAGTTTGAACAGACTTCCAAGTGCAAACATTTCTACTGAACTCAATTTACAAAGTGTGACAATTTGTTTTGCTATATCTTAAAATCTATCACCCAACCTAACAATGTTCAGTAAAATTAAAAATACTAGAGACATTTCCTCTTTTTCATTTCAGGGTACATTTACATAAGAAACACTATTACCATAAGGCCAACCCATAAAAGTTGATGTGACATGGAAACACCCAACAGTCTAAAAAGCCTCATAAATCTTTGTTGGTCAAATTCCGGGTAAGTTAAATCTGTAGAATTCAGTTTAATTTGTAACAAGTACACTTATTTTTTTAATAATGCAAACCACAACAAATGTTGCCTTCAGACAAGTTATGTTTTAAATGTAAAAAAGACAAATACATATATACACACTATATAGGATTAGTTTAGTCTGGCACAAAGCCATATTTTTTATACTAAAGTACACCCAACACAAAGCATAAGAGCCACTCAAGGTAGAGAGTTAGTGAATGCCTTGTGTGATATAAATATATGAGAAGGTAGAAAGATATGAATATTATAAGTATATGGAGGTAGACAACAACTAGTAATGGACTTGAAGTTGTTAACAATTTTTTTTTTTTTTTTTTACAATGATTTTCAACCTGTACAAGCGATAGGGAAAAAGGATATAAGGTGGAAAATAGGTAATCCCTTACAAGATTTTCATAAATGATTTGGAACTCTATCATGGCTGGAAAGTGAAGATTGAGCAATTCCAGCCCAAACATTGCAGCAATACTATTGTTTGCCTAATGTAACTCTTGTAAAACCTGATAGAAGGGACCAGAAATTTTTTTGGAATAGGATAAGGAACCAATCATTTTTCCAGCATCTTTAGCAATGAATTGAGGGATAGGTGAGGCACACAGTGAGGATCAAACTTACTACAGACTAGTCTACTAAACTAGCTTACTAATTATTATCATACAGCAAGATGATTATGGAGATTCGTAATATATTCAGGAAAGTTATTTATTCCTAAGTGGATGTGCTTCGAGTGGTTATCAGCAAATAAAGCGGGAGTTTACAGGAGTTACATTAATTCAAAAACCTCATATATTTGAAGGATACTGTAGCTATAGAAGGCTAATAGTTAAGGCTACTGTAGCAGTTATTGGCATAGAAGGCAGAATTGGTGCACTAAGTTCCAAATCAGTCGAAGTTCGTTGCATTCACGTTTGCCCAAATAGCTTTGGGAAAAGTAAGAACCCATCTATTTTCTTTCCATTCAGTAGTTAATAGCAGGGCATATTGGGCTCTGTAGTTGTGGTTGGGACCAGGGTTGTTGTTTTTTTGCTTTCTTAAAAAAAAGATAAAAAATAAGATTTTTTTTATTTAAATCAGATTTTTTAAAAATTTTTTGCACATAAGGATAGTAAAAGAGTAAGAGTATGAATTTAAAAGGACAGTTCCATGAGTGAACCAAGATAGAAAAAGAAAAAAACCTTAAAAAGACAGCTATCTGAGGCTGAGACAATGAGAGAAAACTTCAAATGAATAGCTACATGTGGCAAATAGATAAAGAATAAAGAAAAATCTACAAAAGGACAGTTGAGACAAATAGAAACAAATTCAGGAGAGTTACATAAGACAAAAAAAGCAAGACAACAACTACCTGAGACAAAGAGTAAAACCCAGAAGGACAGCTAACAGGCAAAAAGACAAAGAGAAAGAAAAAAGGGACAGCTACCTGAGGCAAAGAGACAAACAGAAGAAACCCAGATGGGCAGCTACCTGAGGTAAAGAAACAAAAAACAGAAAAAACATCTATCTGAGGCAAAGTGACAAATAGAAAAAGCTTTAAAAGGACAGCTAACTGAGGTGGCCAAGAGACAAAGACAAAAAACCCAGATGAACAGCTACCTGAGGTAAAAAAACAAAGAGTAAAAATCCAAAAGGACAACAACATAGGACAAAGTGACACAAAGTAAAAACTGAAATGGACAGTTACCTGGGATCAAGACACAAAGAGAAAAAACCCAAACAGACAGCTTCTTTAGTCAAAGAGACAAAGAGTAAAAACCCAGATGGACAGTTATCTGAGGTCAAAAGACAAAGAGAAAAACCCAGATGGACAGCAACATGAGGCCAAGAAACAAAGAGAAAAAACTCGGACAGACAGCTACCTAACACAAAGAATAAAAAAAAAACAGCTGGACGTGTACCTGAGGTCAAGAGACAAAGAGTAAAAACCCAGACAGACAGATATCTGAAGCCAAGAGACAAAGAGAAAAAACAAGGACAGCTACCTGGAGCAAAGAGTCAAAAAACAAGACAGCTATCCAAAGCAAAGAGACAAATAGAAAAAAACTCCAAGAGGATGGCTAACTGAGATGGCCAAGGAACAAAGGGAAAAAACCATGATGGACAGCTACCTAAGGCCAAGAGATAAAGTAAAAAAGCCCAGAAGGACATCTCCCTGGGGCCAAGAGTAAAACCCAGATGGACACATACCTGGGGCCAAGAGTAAAACCCAGACGGACACATACCTGGGGCCAAGAGTAAAACTCAGATGAACACATACCTGGGGCCAAGAGTAAAACCCAGATGGACACATACCTGAGGCAAAGAGACTAAAAATAGAAGGACAGATACCCGAGGTAAAGAGACAAATAGAAAAAAAACTCCAAAAGGACAGCTAACTGAGGGGGCCAAAAGATAAATAGAAAAAACCTAGGCAGAGAGCTAGCTAACTTAGGCCAAGAGATAAAGAGAAAAAAAAACAAGATGAACAGCTATCTGAGACAAAGAGAAAAAAACCGAAAGGATAGACACCTGAAACAAAGAGTAAAAAGCCAAACGGACAGCTAAGAGACAAAGAGAAAATGCTTAGAGGAACAGCTACCTGAGATAAAGAAACAAAAAGTAGGACAGCTATCTGAGGCAAAGAGATAAATATAAAAAACATAGGACAGCTACCTGAGGCAAAATGATAAAGAGTAAAAAACAGAAGGACAGCTACTTGAGACAAAGAGTAAAAATCCAGGCAGATAGCTATCTGAGACAAAGTGACAAAGAAAAATAAACAGGACAGTAACCCTAGGCAAAGAGACAAAATGTAAAAACCCAGAGGGATAGCTACTTGAGGCTAAGAGACAAAATAAAAAAACAGACGGAGACCTACCTGAGATAGACAACGAGAAAAAAACCCAGAAGGAGAGCTACCTGAAACAAATGGTAAAAACCCAGGTGGACACCTACCAGAAGCCAAGTGACAAAGAGAAAAAAAACAGAAGTACAGGCAAAGAGACACAAAGTAAAAATCAAGACAGACAGCTACTTGAGATCAAGAGATATAGAAAAAACCCAGATGGACACCTACTTGAGGCCAAGAGACAAACAGAAAAAACACAGATGGACACCTTAGACTAAGAGACAAAAAAAAAAAAAAAAAAAAAAAAAGAAAGATGGCCACTTACCTTAGATAAAGCAACAAAGAGAAAAAAAAAACCTCGACAGACAGCTAGATACCTGAGACAAAGAGACAAAAAGAAAATTCTCCAAAAGGACAACTGAAGTGGTAAAAAGACAAAGAGAAAAAAATTCCAGAAGGAAAGCTACATGAGGCCAAGAAACAAAGAGAGAGAGAGAGAGAGAGAGAGAGAAAAAAAACTCCAAAAAGACAGCTGAGGTGACAAGAGACAAAGAAAAGAAAGTCTTTGTCTAGAAGGACAGCTACATGAGGCCAAGAAACAAAGAGAGAGAGAGAGAGAGAGAAAAAAAACTCCAAAAAGACAGCTGAGGTGACAAGAGACAAAAGAAAAGAAAGTCTTTGTCTAGAAGGACAGCTCATGAGGCCAAGAAACAAAGAGAGAGAGAGAAAAAACTCCAAAAAGACAGCTGAGGTGACAAGAGACAAAGAAAAGAAAGTCTTTGTCTAGAAGGAAAGCTACTTGAGGCCAAGAAACAAAGAGAGAGAGAGAGAGAAAAAAAACTCCAAAAAGACAGCTGAGGTGACAAGAGACAAAGAAAAGAAAGTCTTTGTCTAGAAGGACAGCTACTTGAGGCCAAGAAACAAAGAGAGAGAGAGAGAAAAAAAAACTCCAAAAAGACAGCTGAGGTGACAAGAGACAAAGAAAAGAAAGTCTTTGTCTAGAAGGACAGCTACTTGAGGCCAAGAAACAAAAAAAAAACAAAACAAACAAACAAAAAATAAAAAACAGTTACCGGATATCAAGAGAAAAATTCCAGAACAGCTGTTATGATGTTGATTTGGGGTTAATAAACGCCAAATAACACGTAACAATAAAAAGGGGTTTATTCGGTTGGTAAGTAGGTACAAAAATCGCCTGAGTAGTCTATAACTAACTCAGCCAAGACTTCTCCGACTGTCTGTCTTTTGACATGCCACTATTTAACGTCTTTGTTTGTAGACAAGTTCATCTTCAAGAGGGGTGGTAGGTTTCCTACACAACACCTCCCCCTTGAGATTAATTCAGGAGGAATTAATATCTTTTCTTTTTGGGATCTGGACTTAAACGTTCCACCCTCGTTCTTTTTCTTTTGCTTGTCCTTCTTTGGACAACTGTTTCAGGCAATGGTGGAGTTGGCATATCAAATAAATCATATAATACCTCCATTGGTTCTTCCTTTTCTTTACTTATTTCTTCAATGTTTCTTCTCCTTAATTGGTTCAAATGTCTTTTGTGCGTCCATTTTTTACTTCTTATCATGTACAACATTTTACCAATTCTTTTTTATTACCACTCCATCTTGCCAAAATTCCTTCCCATTTTTGTAATTTTTAAAAAAAAACTTTATCTCCCGGCCTGAAATATTTCATATTTTCCTGATGTGTTTTGTTCTGGTAACTCTTTTTTCTTTCCGGCAGCAGCCTATTGAACACAGATCTAATTTTTCTAGCAAACATCAATTCAGCTGGAGACATCCCTGATATTCCGTTTGGATTTGGTGTTATTCTGTATATACTTATAAACTGCTTCATATTACCATCATCTGTATTAGTACCATTTGTTTTTTTAAGGGCTCTCTTGAACGTATCAACAAAGCGTTCAGCCTGTCCATTTGACCTAGGATGGTACGGTGAAGTCGTGATGTGGTCAATTCCCAGAGTCTTACAAAACGTCTTAAATTCACTTCCTGTGAATTGAGTTCCATTGTCGGTGACAATTTTTTCTGGTACTCCAAACCGTGCAAACAGTTCTGTAAGAAAATCTTTTGTTACAGAAGCAGTTGGTCTTTTACACTTAAAAACCTCAGGCCACTTGGAATAGCTATCCACAACTATCAAGTAAAAAAATTACCATTCATGGGTCCAGCATAATCTATGTGGAGTCTGGTCCAAACGAACATCTGTTTTTGGCCATGGTGTGTATTTTACTGGCGGTGCTTTCCGAATAATTTGACACCCTCTACAAGTTTTAACTACCTGTTCAATATCTTTGTCCATATTTGGCCAATAAACGTAACTCCTCATCAGGGCTTTAATACGTCCAATACCAGGATGCCCCTGATGAAATTCCTTCAAAATCCGCTTTTGTAGTACAACCGGTATCACGACCCTTCCAGCATATAACAGCACTTCATCACATATTGAATATGCTGGTGAAGAAGTTTTATACTTTCCTGAAGTTACAACTTTTTTCATTTTTTAATAAAAAATGTCATTTTCTGATTTTAATTTTATTTCATCTAATGTCACCGGTAATTCTTTTACTGTGTTATATGCATTACTTCCATCAATTCATTTTCTGCTTGTAAAAACGCTATCACCAGTATCTTCTAGTGGTTCAAGACGTTGGGATTAGCCTAAATAAACCATCAGCATGGCTTAAATTTTTTAGATGATAAAAAAAATTTTGAAATTGTAATTCAACAAAATGGTTCCCCATCATTGCAAACGGTTTGCTGTATGAGTAAGTATACCCTTCTTCGAACCATAGATTGAAAGCAGCGGGCGATGGTCGGTCTGCAATATAAACCTTCTTCTATGTATGTATTTATGGAATTTTTTACAAGCATAAATGATAGCTAAGCTTTCTTTCTCAATTTGAGAGTACTTCTTTTCTGCGGGTAATAATGTCCTTGATGCATGTGCCACTGGCTTCATATTGTAATCTCTGAATTTATGCAAAATTACCGCACCTATTCCATACTATTATATTGTGTCCGATACCACTATAATTTCCTGTTTAGGGTCATAATGTGTTAGTGATAATTCTGACGTTAAAATATTCTTTATTTTGTCAAATGCCTTCTGACACACTTCTGACCATTCCCACTTTGCTCCCTTTTTAAGCAATTTATTCCATTATGCGTAATAGATTACACAAAACATTTATCGAAAACAGTCAAAAAAAAAAGGGAAAAACACGTATATATCCAACAATAAGCACAAGTCTTACTTCTTTTTGGCACGTTGAAATCCTATTTCTTCGTGAAGAACAAAGTTCGACGTATTGGTTTTTTTCTTTCAGTGCGAAAAAAAAAAATTATATAGTCCACCTAGAGTTGAAGAATTCTCCACTCAGTGATGATGAAATCTCTCTTTCGCCACTGTTATGATGTTGATTTGGGGTTAATAAAGACAAACGCCAAATAACACGTAACAATAAAAAAAGGGTTTATTCTGGTTGGTAAGTAGGTACAAAAAATCGCCTGAGTAGTCTATAACTAACTCAGCCAAGACTTCTCCGACTGTCTGTCTTTTGACATGCCACTATTTAACGTCTTTGTTTGTAGACAAGTTCATCTTCAAGAGGGGTGGTAAGTTTCCTACACAACAACAGCTGTCTGAGGTCAAGAGATAAATAAGAAAAAAAAAAAAAGCCTCCAGAAAGACAGCTATCTTGTGTCAAGCAAGTAAACAAAAAAGAAAAAAAAGAAAGAGGGTGGGGGGGGATTTGGGCGCCAAAATTTAAAAGAACATGATAATAAAAAAGAATCAGAATTGTTTAAAAAGTTTAACATCCTGTTATATTCATTGAACAAATGAAACTAGATATTTGTCTCCAAATAGTTTACAGTATGTATGAAGTGTAATGGAAATCAGCACTGAAAATGGAATGGGTGAACTGAGTTCAAATTCTGGACAAGTCTATTGCATTCATTTTCTTACAAATTCCCTTGAGAAAGGCTTGAATTGCATCTCCTCTTCCTCCAGCTATAGGTTAAACAGCAGAGTAGACTGAGCAATCTGGTTTTAAGTTGTAGTCATATTAAGAGAAGGAAAACTATGAACTAATTACAACAAAATCGCATAACATTTTGGATTTTGGTACCCACCCATTGATGATTGTCATGTAAAGTTTTAATTTGATTGTTATCAACCTTAACTGGTTTAGTTGAAAGTGGGACATTGGGTCAAGAGAGGGAGAGAGGTGGGGCGAGAAAGAGAGATCTCGAATACAAAACTTTGTAAACCACTTAACACATTCAAGTGGTGATATTACCTTCTCAATAAACTGTAAATTGTTTGTATCAAGTTGCATTTTTTTTAACTTTCGTCAGATTATGTACTCCTAACCAGTCCCATTATGAGGTTTTGTCATTGGGTTACTGTACAGCTAAGCACCTCACTCCATGTTTGGGTTGTGTGCCAATGTCTGAAACTTTGTGAATGATCTTCTAGTCCATTCTGTGACATTGTCAGCTCATTCCTCCTTCTGTCTGCTTCTTATTCTTTTTCCAAAGGGGGTACCTTGTAAGATGGCAATGGGAACATTGTTGGCTCGTATAGCAATTTCCAACAAAGCTACAGGACTATCAAGAGATCTCCAGTGCCAAACTTTGCAAACCACTTAATACATTCAAATGGTCACATTACTTTCTCCATAAACTATAGAAGTCTTTTTTCCATTGGAATCACATTTTTAAGTTTGCTCAAATTAAAAACAAAAAAACTTAGGATCAATAAAGAATTAATAAACAAGATATACAAATTTTGCATGATAATCAAAAGCAAGGTAAACAATCCTAATGGCATCTTAGAAAAATAAAACATTTTTATAAAGCTCTTATGAGTTTTAGCCTTTTACAGTCAAACCATCTAGATTTTTAAATCTTCAGGAACACATGACCAATATAAAAATGCCAATTTGCCATAAGTCAATATAAGAATAAACATTCATAATTTGCAAAGATATTCAAAAGCTATTTAGCAGCTCCCTTCTCCTCACAATCACTTGTGCCTATAGCAAGATGATTAAATTTCCAATCTAAATTTATAATATTACATTCATTAGGAAATATATTCAGTTTAAATACATAAGGAATTATAAAACAATTTCGAAGAGTTGCTTTTACTTTTTTCCTGTTATCCAGCAGTTGTTGCCAAAGGGAAATTATTCCTCTTGACACAGATGTCCATTTCAATTTCATTTAAATATTTGTATGTACATGTATATTCTAATTCATTCAGGGACCTAAAAAATGATTTTTTCTTTTTCTTTCAGATTTAACAAATTAAGTCTTTGGCAATTTCAACCATGGAAAGATTAACAATCAATGTGTTAAAGTTATTGAGGCCTATTATGAAAATGGATGTTCAAACAGAAATGCATTTTGCACACTTCGCAATTTTCTTGGTCAACATAATCAACTAACTGAGAGTGCAGTTGCAAACGATGTAATGTTGTGGAGAGGTTCAATTCCTGCATGCGATGATGAATAGAGGTGTCTGGATTTTCAGCCACATTTTCATGCACTGCAGCAATGTTTTCAGCTGAATGGCATAAATGAGCACGCAATGGAGTTTTCACATCTGCCACCGACTCAGTTTGTTTGAACTTACAAACAATTTTTCCAACTGTACTCTTGAAACTTTAACATGCTGTTTGATTGTTAATCTTTTCATGGTTGAAATTGCTAAAGACTTAAGTTGTTAAATCTGAAAGAAAAAGAAAAAAAATCATTAGACACTTAAACTTAATTCACATTTAAAATTGGTCCAAGTTATTGGAACACCCTTTATTACCAAATAATTTCCGAAAGAGTTCAATAAAATCTTATAATTCTAATTATTTATTTTTTAGGGATTAAAAGATAAAATTATATTTTTCTTTGTCTTCAACTTGATTTCTCAGGTTACTTGCTGTTTCCTTTTTCCCCTCTTGCCTTTAGTATATAACCGTGAGCATCAAATTCAAGCTCTCTTTACCTCATTATGTATCCCAGAAGTTTCAACTATCTCTTTCTAATCCTAAGCACAAATGTCCTTTTTGTTCCTATTTTTCATTCAAGGTATTCTCAGCATCCCTCTGTAGAATCCTATCTCAGTTACTTCAAGTTGCCTATTCATCTGTGGAGAAATTGTCCAACATTCACTGCTATATAGGAGAATTGATATAGCATAGCAGTTCAGCATTCTTTTCTTTGCTTCTAATGAAATTTTTCTGTTTCTGAATGGTTTTAGTTTTTGGAAAGCATCTTTGGCTATTCCAACATGGCTTCAGATTTCAGAGCTCCATTTTTTATCACTTGTTAAAACATTTCCCAGATGGCAAATTTCTCTACTCACTTGATTCTGAACTCTAATTTGCAAGATATACTTTGATTTTTTTCTTTTAAAAAAATGAAAATAATTTTTGTAATTTAAAAAAAAAAAAGAAAAAGAAAAGAAGAAAGAATAAAAAGGAGGATTGTTTTGAAAGATATTACTTACCTTTTGTTTAAATATCCTGTCAACAAGAGGGCTTTGTCCAAGAGAAAAATCTCGTCGATTTGGTTCACTTAAATTGTAAGCTAAAGTGGATGGTTTGTCAATCCATTTTTGGATTATTTCAATTAGAAAAGGATCGTTTTGTGCAGGCACCTTGCATTATTAGAAATATTCATAGAAATATGATTTAATTTTTTTTCTACTCGGTTTACTAAACAGGTTGTTGATTTTTTTTAAACGGAAAATAATTGAGTTGAAAATAATTCACTAAGATTGTACTTGGACGATCCTAAGGGAAGAAGAAGGAAGGGGAAAGAGAGAGGTCGAGAAATACAAAAAAAGCGGTCATTAACAAAAACACGAGTCAGAAAAGATATCTTAGCTAGCATGTTGACCGAATTTTTTAAAGACAATTGGAAGAATAGAATTAGAAATAATAAAAAAGAAAGAAAGGAAAAGACATGATATCAAAACGGGCCGCTTGATGAAAACCAGATATCGGTCAAAGCATCTAGCCTACTTTTTGCGTGAAAGACACCTTTATCAATTTGGATAAAGGGAAATTTTTTTTACAATGAAAACGAAATCTTAATCAGAGAAAAAAGTGTCTTTTTGGGTTGAGGGGAGTGACCGGTGGAACGGTATACAGATTCTGACCTGTTAAAAATTAGAACCCCCACATTGACGAGTGAAAGATGTTTTCAATTCAGATAAATTAAGATTTTCTGACTGCCGGGTCTGACAAAAAACAAGAGGTGAAAAAAAAACGATTGTCTCAGATCACAGATGGCGACAATATTCTTTCCTGAAGTCACAACTAATTAGCGGCGGGCTGGTTGACAGAGCCCAGGTGAGAAAAGCCAAGATTGTCATTTTTTTCGTACGTGCAGAAAAAGGCAAAATTGGATTTTGTTTTTTTAAAAACAGAACGATGTAACCACGCCCGAAAGGAGGAGAAAGGATGCTCGATCAATAACAATTGGTCGGAAACGGTCACGTGATCTGCAGAAAAGAAGAAAGAATGCCCGATCAGGAACCATTGGTCGAAAAACGGTCACCTGACATACGAGAGACTAAGAGAGATGGGTGTGCACCTCCCCAAAAAGGCACTGTGAGGAAGTAGGGGTGAAAACAATAGCGATAATGGGAAATCAAAAATAATGCGACTTTTGGAATTATTGAGAAAACCCTGACGCCGACAGACCCACCCCAGTTTGTTGCGGCGTCAATAAAAGCAGGACCCCAGTCGACAGAAATCAGTTGAGTTGGAGTTGGAGTTGCAGCTGGACCGCGGGCAGGGATAGAGCCTGAACGCGGGCATCAGGCCCGATTCACTCGCCCCTTTGCGGGCAAAAGAATCCTCAGACAAGAAATCCTTCCAGCCCAAGTCGAAGACAGAAGAGTTCAGCCCCGGACGGCAGCGAAGAAGATCACCTCGGACGACAGAGAGTTGCGGCTGAGTTGCGGCAAGACGACAAGAGATCCTTCCAGCCCAAGTCGAAGACAAGAGAACTTCCAGCCTAAGTCGACGAAGACGAAGAAATACAACTCAAGTCGAAGAGAAGAATCAACTGCGAATGATCGATAGAAATTAGCCCCAGTGTCGAACAAACCACACTCCGACATACACAATTCTAAAGAGTAGGCAATTCAAAATCTTTAGGTTGTGTGATAGAAAACTTAGTGCCATAGTCCACAGAGCGGGTTGGGAAATGAGAACAATTTTGTTTTTATGTAACGGACATTAAGATATAAAAGGTTGTTACCCATTTTTTTCATCAGCAATCTTTTGTCTCGTGAGTTTATTTTCTCTTTTATTTGTGTTTTGCCACCCCGTCGGACTCAACTTGTATCGGCCCCAATCCCTGCTGGTCCCGTCTGTCTAAGATCTAAACACAGCGTGGGTAGACAGACCGGAGATCGGTACAGTTGCTTTAGTGACCAGGTATTGGAAGCGAGTCAGGGAAAGGCGAGGCTGGTGATCATCTGACCAAGGGGTTGGAGCGGCACGCTTGGACCCAGGAGGAGCGACCAGGAGGAGCGACGTCACCGTTAACGCCGTAACCAAAGGATCCGACCCTGGGCCAGGTGTGTAACCGTCACAAGTGGTGCCGTGACCAGGATCAACCCTGAGACAACCACGTCACATATGGTGCCGTGGTGACCGAGGATTTCAACCCTGAGAAGACCACGATCGACCGCCGTTGCTGAAAATTCAGACAGAACTCAGAACGACCCGGACCAAAGGAAAAGAAAGAACAGAATCGTCTGTAAGGTAGGACACCTTGTTTTGTTTCCCAACCTCGATTGT